ATGAGAAAAGGAGATGAAGGAAAAGCTCCCTCAACTGAAGGACATTTAAGTGGGAGGGCCAAGACAGATGATTCAGAATTACTGGGAGAAAATTCTCCATAGATTGCTTGCATTTCTGCATACTAGAAGCAGAAGTCCTACTGGCCTGTGATCTAGGCTACCTTTGCGTAGCAAACATCCTTAGACAACAGAGGTATCTCCCTCAGGAGCAATGGGTAGGCAAAATCTCTGCCCTGAAGAGAAGATTCAGATTCCCTCAGCTCCCAGTTCCTCTCTTGGAATGTGGCTTGCCCGTGATGTCCCTCTTTATGTCACACTGCGGGACCGAGGCTTGGAGAACGCCAAAATGCTGCTACTCCAGACTCTGTGAGTAATGTGGCATCCTTGTCTCTGACCTAGAGGGTCTTGTGTCTCCTACAGCATCCACGAAGATGTGTCCAACGAATAGGTTAACTTGCCAAGAAGGTAAAATTCGGAGCCTTCACAGTCTTGGTACTTGGATGCCCCAAAAATGGGCCCTGTAAAATGAAACCTAAATAATGAATAAAGTAGAAAGAAGGAGGGAGGGTAAAAGCTGAGTTCTAGAAAGAGATCAAGTGAAACAGTCTGGATGGAGGTGGTGGGGAGCAGGGCCATGCAGAACAAAATTTGTTCAGTCTAGTGGGAGGAGAAGCCTTGGTGAAGAGGGGATGGAGAGAGATGAAGCCAGATGGGAGGCTGGTGGTCAGCTACGCTACATAAGGAGACTATCCTAAAGGGAAATGTAAGCCCCTGGAGGACATTTTAGCCAGAGAGATTTGAAATCCATCTAGGGAAATTTTGAATGCCCCCATCACCACCTTATCCTCCAAGCACCATTTCTACCTCGACAAACCCCCATAAAATAGCCTGGGTCGTAGCACAGGTTGGCATAGCAACTGATTATGTGGCTGTTTTCACCATGGTTTTATTTTTATCAGCTCCAGACTGTCAAGCTTGCCCTAAGTGTTTGAACAATCACAGGGTTCTAGGTGGAAGAAGTGGGTAAAAGGGCCACATTCTATCTTGACTGAGGAGTGGACCGCAGCCAAAGATAATTTCTTTTGGGAGAATGAGACTCGTGCCCATTCCTTTCTGGCCTGACATGTAATTACTAGCAAAACAACCTGTTTTCTTTAACCCATGAAATATATGCTGGCAGACATCACACCTGAGAATCCAGAAGGAGCTAATTCCTCTTATTTGAGTCTGTATGACATGTACAGTCTATTTGACTACGTATGATACATAGTCAGGCCACTTGAGTTCAAATCCTGCCTCCTCTATCTACTAGCTTTATGACTTCTAGCCAATTAACTACTCTATGCTTTAATTCCCAATCTGATAAGGAACTAGCCCATCGAATTGTCATGAAGAAGATAGGTGTTAAATGTTTAGAACTGTATAGCACATTGTAAATTTTAATAAATACTATATCTCATTATTACTTGCTTGAAAATTAACTCTATCAGTCAAAAGCTTTAAACATTTACATCATACAGCAGCAGACAGAAAATTAAACACTTGGAGTTACTGCATCAATTTAAAAGTAACTCCTTCTTGGAATTTTTTAGTGTCACTCTGGTATTCAAAAACCTACCCTAAAGTGCCCTAAAGTGAAGGGCCTCACGTTAGGACGATGTTTTAGGGGCTTTTTGAGACAAAATCTCACTATGCAGTCCAGGCTGGCCTCAAACTTAACAGCACTGTTCTTGACTCCAACTGAGATTATGGGTATGTACCACCACCCCAATTCACTTCAATACAATTTGCTGATGATTCCAATTGTGCTTACAATGTTTTCTTCCTGGGAAAGATTGTCTCCCGTTGAATCCAGTGCCTTTAAAGTGGAGAGGGTCTCAGTCAACCTACAGAACATGAAAAATAATGAACTATTATTACTATTATTATTTGCAGCTCTGGAGATTGAACCCAAGTCCTTTGAACCTCTCAAGCTATTTTATGATTATTTTTTGAAGCAGGATCTTGGTAAGCAGCTAATTTGTCCAGGCTGGGCCTGAACTTTTGATCCTCCTGCCTTGGCCTCCTAGAGTATTGAGATTACAATTTTAAACCACTGCTGGAGGTTGCTTTGTTACTCAGAAACAGACAACCAATACACAAAATAAGCAAATTTCTCATCATTCATCCCCCAGAAATTCTGACTCATTAAGTCTGAAGGGTCTTGGTGGCTACTTTCCCAGATAATGGTAATTCAATGGTTTTCACTGGTTGTCTTCTCACGTTTCCTGGAGCTTCCTGGGCCCCAACTCAAATCTTCTGGGTCCAAAAGCCCAGAGAAGAGATCCTAAGATTCAGAGGTTGTATATGTAAGTGGCCAGTTGCCAGACCATTGATAAAAACAGAGCTCTAACCAATCATCTGTAGGAATCAGCCCAGGAAGTTAAACCACAAGCCCTGAAGCCACTGGCCCAAAAAGATCATGACTTAGCCAATAGTTGACAGCTTCTCTAATGTTCGACCATGTTTCCACTTTAGGACTGAACAGAGAAAACAAAAAATCCTTCCTATCGCAAAGGTGCTGCTTTTTGTCACTTGGCCCTAGCTTCCTTAGCTCAACAGCTTCATCAGAAGATACCTGAGGTTTCCCTTTTTCCACTCCAAAGTTTTATCACTCTGCCGCCTGACAAATGGGAGTGATAGTGGTGGCCATGGCCCTTGCTAAAGCAAGCTCTGAATAAATACCTTGTGTTTATTCTCACTGGATGATCTTTGTTTACATTCACAGGACTTATATATTTAACAGGAGCAAGTGATTCTCATCATCAGGGAAGTTTGGGAAATCCTATCCCAGGCCTTGTCTCCTCAAAGTGTAGTCCAAAGACCAGAAGCTTTAGCAACACTTGGTGGCTTGTTGGAAATGGAGAATCTCAGCCCCTCTCCAGATCTACTGATTTTTTTTTTTTTTTTTTTTTTTGTCTTTTTCCTTTTTATCGGTACCGGGGATTGAACTCAGGACTGCCTGCTTGCAAGGCAGGCGCTTATGCCGCTGAGCTAAACCCCTTTTAAAACAAGGTCCTGAAGTAATCTTTTAGCCCATCGAAGTATGAAGATAACTAATCACAAACATTGATCCAGATCAGTGGATCTGCAACCTAAGCACACATTAGAGTCCTCCAGGGGCTGGTCTTTTGGTCCTGAGTAGGACTTGTGTCTCAATGGCTTAAGAGTTTCCCAGGGTGAACCATCACTGCTCTAGGACCACTGTTCTCAATCTTTGGTTGTGTCAGAGTCATTCAGAAAAATAGTGTTCAGAGCTCCAGACTTGACAAAGAAAGATGGGCCTGGCCCTTGGCCATCTTACAAATTTCCCAAGTGGCTCTGAACTGATGAGTGCATGAAAATGCTGATCTAGGAGCCCAGGCCTAGGAGAAGAGTCCCAGAGAAGCCCCCCATAGTTTTCTTCTCTTCCAAATTTCTTCTTCCTCAATTCTACTTCACCATGTCTCTTAAAGATCAAGGAATTGGGAGAAGGAACTAAAGAAATGGAAGGAACTAAAGCATCTTCAAACATAGGGATTCACCAAATTCAACTCGTGGCGGGATGTGTGTGTGTTTACTCAAACAAATTTTTTGTTGTTGTTTTCTTGGTTTTTTTTTTTTAAGGTTTTGAGTCACTGCCAACCTTTTACAAAGGAGATTTTACATAAAAATTTAGATTTCCAGGTTGTCCTAGATCAAGAAACCTAGCAATAATATACCCACATTTCCACATGGTAGCAGTGGACCAAATGGCCCCTTAAAAGGTGCATGAGATCAACAGTTTTCCACCGTCTGCCTCATCTATAGCTCTCGTTTTGTTGTATGGATAACTCTGTAAGCATTTCAGTTTGGAATCTTAATAAAAAGTAGAGTCTAATCCAACTTTTATAGACAAAAGACAAAACAAAACAAAAAATGTTTCCCAATAGAAGTTGTTTGTAGTCTTGTTATGACCAAAGCTAGAATTTGGATCAAAATTCTTACTGCTTCCTGTGTGAGGGAGGTTGGGGATTCTACTGAGTTAGACTTTCCCTTCTAGAGAACTCTAAAAACCCATCAGAGGCCAAGGACCTAGACGTGTCCTGTTACACTGGGCAAATCACTTCAGGAGTACAGGCAATCTTTGCTCTTGTCCACGGACTGTCACCTGCTCAGAATCCGCTACAGAGCGAATTAACTTAACCTCAAACTCATCTATATGATGAGAATAACAACAGTATCCAATGTATACAGTTATTTCAAGAGTTAAATTAAATCATAGCTGTAGAACATAATTCTTCCACTCAAGCCATGTGAAGAACTCCATCAGTGAGCACTAAGCATAACTAATAATATCTTCAATATTGAATATATACTCACCTGAGAGAGCTGCCGTTATTCAGCTTCAGAATGATCAAATTTTTGTTTCCCCCAATCCAAAACTGACTCAGAAAGCAATGTGTTAAGAGAGCCACCTATCGGATGAGTGGTGTTAGGCAAAACTCTTAAAACTTGCTAAGCCTACGGCTTTTTCATGTGTAATTTAGGGATAAATAGTAGCATTTGCTCATATAGTTACCATGAAGTTTAAATGAGATGAGACTTATAACTTACCTGCCCATCAAGTGTCCAGCTCCCAGTCAATAATTCCTGGAGGTTTTGACTCCTCAAAGCAGGGTCACCACCGAGTGGTTTAAGAAAGTAACTCCAGGCTCTCTAGGGTATAAAAGTAAAAAATATGATCCCAAAGGATGATAGTAAGGGACGACTGATCCCACAGTGAGCTTAGGAATCATCCCTAGGTCTGTTTCAATGCATTCAATGACCTGTGACAACCCTGATTTCTCAGCATGTTTGGGGATTCTTTTGACCTTAACTAGCTGGACGCTGGGTTGAACTACTTGGCACCTGGATTTGGTTTATGCTTGTGTCTATCAGTGCAGGCTACTTTAACAGAACACCACTGACCTTGTGGCTTAAACAACAAGCCTTTATTTCTCACAGGTTTGAAAGCTAAATTTCAAGATCACGAGTCCAGCATGTCAGACTCTGAATGAAGACCTTCTCCCCTGTGATGTCCTTGGTGAGTGCAATGATGAGGGGCCACACACTGCGATGGGGAAACAGCTGAGAACAAAGCAGACAAACATCCCCACTCTCCTGGACCTTAATTCCAAAGCAGAGAAATAGATAATAAAGAATATAAGTAATTGAAATGCATAGTGTATTTGTGATAAGTGCTGAGAAACAATAAATCAGGGAAATGAGATGACGTTTAGATGTAGACCAAAGGTGGCAAGGGGGCCTGATCACACAGACATTTGGGAGAAGAACATTGCAGGTGAAGGACAGAGAAAGTGCAAGTCCCTAAGGCGGGACCATGGCATGGTTCAGGGACAACGAAGAAGCCAGTGTGGCTGGGATAGGTGAGTCAGGGGGATGTAGGAGATGAGGTGAAAGAGACATGGGATAGACTGGAAGGTGAGAGTCTAGGGGCCCTCTGAGTTGGAACCACTTGAAGATGTTGATGAACAGAGGAGTGATTGTGGTAAGCAGCATCACTCTGGCTGCTGTGTGGAGAACTGATTAAAGGAAGTAAGAATGGGGAGGGGCAGAAGCATGGAGTCCATTTAGGAAGCAAAAAAATGATGGTGGCTTGGGCCAGGGGAATTACAGTGAAGCTCTAAAGTGGTAGGAATAAGAAAATGGTTTTGTCTGATAATGAGTCCTACCGAGGAGTCAGCACTTATTACCAATGCAGTTAATTGCATATTTATTCCCTACCCATCTTATCAGACAGTCTGCTGTCAGAAACCATGCTGTTTCTTTGATTCTGAATCCTAGTCCTCAGAACAGTGGCTGAAAGCAAGTGGCCACTCAAAGGATGGGTGGATGCGTGGGCAGGTGAATGAACAGATTGATTGCATAAGTGGACAGATGGCTACATGGACGAATTCATGGATTCATGGGTGCATAGAGAGATGACTGAAGGCCAGCTATGTCATTCCCTTTTCCTCTTGTTCAAACTACAGAGTGATGAGTGGCTGATTTAGGGCAATTCAGAGAGATGCCCACCTAGCTAAGGATGCTCCAGTGATGCCCCACCCTAAAAGAAAAACTAATGTTAGGACACAGCTATAGCTGAAGCCCTAAGGAGGAGAGGAATCGCCTTAGATTCCCGAGGGAAACAACTGGAACCTTCCTTTTCATCTGTCATATCAAGGTGAGTGACATAAAACTGGGGTTTGGACACAGGAATTTTCAGTTTATGTGAAAATTTGCCAAATTGGGGGATGGTGTGTGGTTCTTTTGATGAGAACTTCTTATCTAACCAGGCATAAGGAGTAATCTGGGATCATGTCTGTCCCACATAGTATGTATTCACAGAAGCCCATGGAGGGAGTCTGCCAGCCGAGAGTATATTCCTAAAAAGACTATTGTCTGGGTAACACTGACGTGGGTATTTTATCTAAGAACTTGTCCAAGGCCATGTCTCTCCTCACTGATCCAGTAAGACCTTTCCCTGGTCCAGCATCCACCCTCCCAGGGTACACCTGGCCCTTCCCATACTGTCCTCCCAGTTGGGCCCACCTATGGCCACAAGGACACTGGAGACAAAAAGTTTATTAAAAAAACATAACCTAGTCTTGATTACCTCGGCAGACAATGTTTCAGGAGAGGTTACTCATTCACATCTTAGTCTGGATTCAGTCTGGCCACAAAAGCTTCTGCTATACCACATGGTCGTTAGCAATACGAAATCAATAGACAGACCATACCAGCTCCAGGAATGCAAAACAGACACAGACACAGTGCCAGTTAAGCTGTTGTAGTGGTTAGGAGCTCCCTAGGGAAAACTGAAGATAACTGCATACCAAGCAAGTGCGTATGTCTATGAGGGCTTTCGATCTCTCTTGCCCTCTCTGACTCTTCCTCTTTGTCTTTCTTTGTCTCTGTCTCTCTCTGTGTTATATACACTCCCCCACACACCCTTGCTTTTATAAATAGCATTGGCAAGAATGCACAGTGATAATGATATCTGAGATAGTTAGCAGGGGAGTCTGCACAAGAAAGAAACAAAAAGCATAACTAAAACAAAAGTTAAGGGAGTTACTTTTAAGATGGAACAATAAAAGGGATATAATGCTTGTTCATCATATTTTTTAAAAAAAATAAATTATTCTTTTTTTGGTGGGGGGCTACTGATGCTTGCCAGGCAGGTGCTTATGCTGCTGAGCTAAATCCTCAGCCCCCCAAAAAGGTAGCATTATACAGAATTTTTTAAAAAAGGAAAAATTAACACTAAGAAATCGCTAATTGATATCTTACATATTGTCATCTTAGAAATAGTTGTTCAAGTTACAAAATCAAAGCATAAAAAGATGATATATACTCAAACATTGACAGTGCAAACCATGCCTTTTTTCCTATTTTTTTCTTTCTTTAAATAAACACTCACTTTCAAGCAGAGAAGTAAACCCATATATTTAAGTTTGACTATGTAAAAAATTTAAAATATCATAGAAATATACAAAGAAATTTGCAAATGGGTAAATATTTTCATTCTAAAAAATTATGAATATACTATTACCAAATATGTTCATCTTGTATGATTAAGAGAAATGAAGTAAAACAACATGGGACTTGCTTCTCTAATAATTTAATAGACGACATCCTAGGAAAACACCTCACATAAAAAATGTAGAAATCTTTCCAGCATCCAAATAACAGAAATCTCTAAATATCAAAATATGAAGTGGGGCCTGAAAAACAAATGGAGGTATTAGTTGGCACTGAAGATATAGCAGGCTTAGGACTGTTTGAAAATCTCAGCAATCCAGAAATTTTACACTTTTGCAGATTTAACAAGTCACATGAGGACAAATGACCAAAGTCTTAGACTTACCCATGTTGGGGAAATACCACATAAGGCCAAGGCCCTCAAAGCACTATTCCCTTGCTGAAAGGTTGACAAGAAAATAATTTACCCAATGTCAAAGAAACCTGTTGGGTTTTCTCTGGAATCTGAAAGGGGAAAAGTTTCCCCAAGAATTCATAATGGAAGAGTTCTTCTCATGTGGATTTGGGGTTTAAACACCCTGAATAATTTGGAAAATCACATGTTGAAAAAGCAGTACAGTAAATTCAAGTTGGTAACATCTCAGAGTACCTACAGAATGAAAATACAAAGTCTCTATAGGAGTAGCCACCCTCTACCCATACCTGCTGGAATTCCAAAGACAACACCCTTATAAACATGTGTTTACCTGCCCAATATAAAAAGTCTTGTAAATAAATAAGCCACCATGAGTGGATATAAGGAGAAACAATAAATAGCACAATTAGATCCCCAAGGACTTCATAATATAGAATTATCAAATTCAAAATACAAAGTATGTATTTTTAAAAGGAGACAAATCAGAATACTATGCAAAAACAGCGAGGCAAGAGTGAAAAATAAAAGTATATTATTTTTAGAAATAAAAATGTAATGCAAAATAAAATCTTAGGCCAAGAGAGTAACTCAGTAGTAGAGTACATGCTTCATATGGTTGAGACCCTGAGTTCATTTCCCAGCACCAAAAAATAGGCTACCCAGAAGATTACACAAAGATAAAGAAAAATAAAATTATGAATAATTATGAAATATTAATTCTAGAACATATATCCAATCATATTTCCAAAAACAGAATGAAAAAGTCCTTGAGAATTCAATAACTGAAGATTTTCCAAAACCAACAAAGAAATTAATTCTCACACTTAGAAAACACACAAATCCAATTTGTTAAAAATAAAACAAAACAATAAACTCACACCTGTGCATAACTCATGAAACAGAAGAATTCTCAGACTATTCTTCCCTGCCAAGGAAAAATATATTAAAAACAGAAAGCAGAAAACTTCTGATTAATTACAAAGATGAAGTCTTCAAAGTCCTGAAGGAAGGTAACTGTCAACTTAGGGTTGTGTTACCTAGCTAAACTACCATTCCCCACAAGTCAAACAGGCCACTTTGAAAAATAAAATACTCTTTCCACGGAGGAACTAGAAAAAGGAAGTATTTCAGGAAAAAAAAGTAAGTCTCTTAAGTAAGGAATAAAATATACAAACTGATGTAGATACAATCAGGTTTGTAATAAAATATACAAACTGATGTAGATACAATCAGGTTTGTAGATTTGTTGGTCTCATGTAAATTAGACTCACAGCTGCAATAAGTCATCTCAAACTTACCCTAAAGTAAATATAGACAAGTGTTTCTACTGAAGATGCTAAGTGGATTAGAAGCTCTCCCTGATGTATTCTGGTCCAGAAAAAATCTTGCCATTAGAACTTTTGAAAGAAGTTTTTCTGATCGATTGGCCACAGTTTCTTCCATGACCCTCAAAGTCCTCTCCCTTTTCAGCTTTATCTTCTGTCAAAGCTGCAGAGCTGTTAATTTTCCACATAAACTTCAAAAATCCATACATCATCTGCTACTCAATTGAAAATTCTGGATAAATCAGCTTGATGCCTCAAGTGAGTAGCTATTGAGTTTAAGTTACTTATTTTGTATCAGCTGTGAAGTTTTCATTTCCTCAGGAAGACATCTTCTAAGAGAGAAATAAGGTCATTGGCAGCTTTATTAATGTTTCCATTGGTCTTTTGAGTATTTGGATAGAATAGTCTCAGATGTAAGAATTTGAGATTTTTTTCAGATATTAAGTCATCTAAAAATTCTGTATCTTTATTTCACTATAAGAACCATGAATTTACATTGTAGAAAATAGGAAGAAAACTTTACGCTCATGTGACAAGGACATGGTTTTATTATATTGTACTAAGATTTACTACCACGAACCTGATGAGACAAGTAACTTGTACTTAAATGCAATAATGAAAAGTACTCAGTGTCAATCTTATAAAACTGGAAATTACTGTCTTTAGTAGTCACTTTCCAGATTCATCTGATCAGTAATAAGTGACCGTTTAACATTTTTAGTATTTGTATATATTTTGCTGCTAACTCAACCTGGAAGACTCATGGGGAGGCAATGCTGTCAAAGTAAAAAGTTTTCTGTAAACATGACTGAAGGTACCTGAATCCAGGAAAACCATAGCATGTACAAACTAATAAAGGTAATGAATAGCCTGTGGATATTGCTACTACATCAATGTTAGGAGGAAAGGCAGACACAAAACTGGAGAAACAGGGAGAGGTCAACTCACAAAGACTGCCTTGCTGAAAATTTTGGAGCTCTATTTTATAATTATATTTCAACCCAAAGAATTCTAATGTAGGAAGCAGCGTAAAACACTTTATGTCAATAAATATGAACTATTCCAATGCAATACACAAAGGTAAATTTATAGCTTCAGATAATACTAATAAAGAGAAGGAAAAGCATTTACACTTAAAGTTTTGAAAGTGAAAGAGGTAATATTTTTAAAGGAAATATTAGGGTCCCAAATTTCATTTTTAATGGTTTGTGTCTAGGTGGCCCCCCAAGCCTCATGCAATCATGGAGGCAGCTGAATCTAGATTTGTGATTGGTTTGTTGTCTAGCACTGATTCACAGTGTGAGTCCTGCACCCACCAAAGACAGAGCTGGCATACAATATAAGGGAAGGAAGAAGCTGTGTTTTTCTCTCATTTTCCCTGTTCGCTCTTGCTTTTTGTGGTTGCCATGAACAACTACCCCTGTGCCATGCCACCCTGCCTTACAGCCAGCTGAGTATGGACTGACACCTCCAAAAACTGTAAGATAAACAAATCTTTCCTTCCCTAATTTTAGATGTCAGGTATTTTATCTCAGCAATGAGAAAAAAGTAACCAAGACAATTTTATAGATCATAGTTTATATTTATCTCTCTCCTAAAATGTTTCCACCCCTATATAAGTGAGATGGCATACATCTGTAATCCCAAAATCCTGGGAGGCTAAAGCAGGAAAATCACATGTTCAAGCCCAGCCTAAGAAACTTAGAAAGTTAGTAAGAGTCTGGCCCCAAAATAAAAAAATACAAAAAGACTGGAGGTGCAGCTCAGTGCTAAGGCCCTGGATTCAGTCCCCTCTACTGAAAAAAAAAAATGCTCCTGTGGTGTTTTTGTTCTTGCCATGTCCAAACTTACTCATTCCTCAAGACCCAAATCAAACATGTTTTGTGAAATGTGTCCTGTCTTGCTCCATCCTAACATTGTACCTTGCACAGAATATTCCAGTTTTGCCATTATTTTTATGTG